AATAGGTTCTAAGTGACCCGCCATCAGCATATTCCATTACTAACAAATACTTTTTCAAATGAACATCTTTTTCTAAATTTTTTTTTTTTTTAATTTTTAAAATTTATTAATGATTTAAAAAATAAAGATAAAATAAAATATAAAAATAAAAAATATCTATTATGAACATTACATACTTTGTTTTGAAGTTATCCCAAAAAAGCGAATAATATTATCATGAAAATCCACTTCGCTTTGAAGTTCGAGCTGAAAAATTAATTAAATTTAGTTTGATATATAAATGATTTATATTAAAAAGACTGAAATAGTCTTAAATACATTTTAACATTTGTAATTACCTCACGAACCATTTCTTTAACAGTGGCGTTGTTAAGGTCATGAAAGGATTTTAACGCGAGAGGTTGTTTTGAACTTTTCCAATTTGCACGATAGACTTTTCCAAAGCTGCCAGTACCGATCTCTTGAACATTGCTAAAATGTTCATATTCGTAGCATTTGATATTTTTTTTAAAAACATATTCCTCTATAAAACTAATCCACTCATTTGAATTATTGTCTTCTTGCATTTTGATTTTTTTAATTTTTGTAAAATGATAAAATTCTTGAAGAAAAAGCAAAAAAAAAAAAAAATGAAAAAAAAATGCACTTGGTAAATCATGTAACGTTAAGCTTCTTTGTCAAATGCTAAGCCACCATTGTACAACCTTATTTTCTCGTTCGCTCAAAGCTTATAATCCGATTCTTAAAAACAGATATTCTAGAGATTTACAACAATTTTCACCAATGTAATAGTTTTTTTTTGTGCTTTTATTCTTTAAAGAAGGATTTCATTTTTTTAAAAAATAATTTATATTTTTTAATAAATAAATTTTGTTTTAATTTAATTGATCGACAAAATCCCCTGATCACACTAATTCGAAAAATTTTTCTGATTTAGTTTTTTAAACTAAAACCATTCCGCCAATCAATTATTAAATATAGTAAGATTTGCCAAAATTACACTATATTTAGTAACTATTGTAAACAAATTAATTGGTGGAATTTGTTTTTAATTAGCCTAAAGAGTCAAATAGCCCCCATACGACATTTTTATAAACATTACCTAGAAAAAATTTTGTCTTTATTAGGGGAAGAATATTTTATTATTTGTAAGCTGTCTCCTGGATTTGAGATTCAAACGAAAAGCTATCACTAAATAATCGAAAAAACTAATCCCTACTTCATTTTCTAACCTATATGTAAAATAATGATATTAAAATTAATCTACCTGCCCATCGTGGTTTTATCAAGGTGAAGCTTTTACAAAAATTGTTAGTTACAAGGGTGGTCATTTTTTTTATTCTTGTCCGAATTAATATCAATTAAATGAAAAAATTTGTTTTTGTCCCTACCAATATAAAAAATTTCAATTAAAATTAATTTTTTATTAAATTTATGGATTTTCGATGTGAATAAATGAAATTCATTTTTTTCCAAAATTTCGAGAACATAATAATAACAGATGTTGCTTCCCCTAAAATATTTTTGTACACTTGACATAGAACTAATGAACTTGCTTATAAATGAAACGAGTGACCGATCGATGGACAATTTAGAAATTTACGTCACGTCGTCATTATTTTACTGACATAAAAATTTACCAGTATTGACGAATGGTCTTGAAATGACCTTGAAAACGAAATTTGTAAGGAAAACGTGATATTTGTGTTAAAAGGCACCAAGGAATATTGGCATGTTAGCTGGAATGTGATCTAGTAAATCAATTCTCCCAACTCACACCTATGGGAGACTTTTATTTTCTCTAATGATAAAGAAATTTTCTGGTATAAATTGTTGTTGAATAACAACGATTCTGATCCGAAAAGAGTAAGTTTAAGTTAATGGTAATACGTTTACATTCGTTCTTACATTCTTGCATCGAATCCAATACCATTGTAGTATTATTATATGAAGAATTCGGGATTTTAAGAGATTTTAAGTGATTAAAGTTTATTATTTTACCTTTAAGAAAATTAGTTTTTTAACGCTTTATAAAATTAAATATTTCGAATTATTTTACAATGTCATATATAGTAATTAAAATAAACGAATTTATCAAATGAAGCATAACAATTTATTCGTTTACCCGATAAACAGTATCACACAAGGTATCCGATAATCTCGAGTATACAGTACATATTGGTCATTTGCTAGTTATGAAATAGTAATTCATATGATCTGTATTAGCAAAATTCTCTATTATCAGGATGAAAGAAATAGTTCTTTGTATAAACACAATATTGCACTCCTTTTCCTTTTCGTTCTACTATCTAAACAATAAAAACTGCATTGAAAAAACATATGGCGATGATTTGTATTATCGAATGTTTTAGAGAAGCATTTGATTGACTCATCATTAATTTGCAACTTCATTCTGGACTCGATATTGTTCTGAGAAAAAAGTCATTTGTCTTCATACTAATTTGTTTATTTCAAAATTTTCATAATATCATTCTTCAAATTCTTTTTAAATATTATCTCACGTGACTATTTCAAATAATTTTCATTACTTTTCAATTCTATGTATCAAGTCTTCTTTCCTTACTTGTGTGTCATCTTTAGTTGTTACAAGCTTTATGTTAGTAATTTTTTCGTTTTTCATTGAGAATTTAGTCCGGAGCGTTAGCGTAGGACTATATATTTCTACGCAGTATGGCTCAAGATGTCCGGATGTTCGCCCGCTCAATAATTGAGTCGATGCTGATTGGCTTTTGCAATATTTTTTTTAGTTAAGATCGTTCAACGGTTCCCGTTTCCTAGTTTTATTTCGTTTTCAAACCAGAAATTATAAATATATATGCGATGATTATTAAAAAAGAAAATTTGTTGCGAAAAAAAAAATTCCCATTACAATTTCACAGATTTTTTTTGTTACAACATTACAAAACGATAATTTTTACTTAAAAAAAATTGTCTTTATCATTTTAGTTAATCAGTTTTGGTTAATTTGCCGGCCAATTTGTTCCCTGGCCATAATATGTCCAATGTACTTCTAGAAAAATTGTCGCCTGGTCAAATTGTCCACCTGCCGAATCGTCCTTTGGAACTTATGTCCTCTGACCAATTTGTTTACAAAAAAATTTAATATAATTATGATGGGTTTTTCTTGTGGAATTAAATATTTCTTTTTTTTTTTTCACAACACATTTCTTTCCTTTTTTTTATTTCGATTTTTTCAATAAATTTGTCTTTTAGTTTTTGGTTTTAATTAGTCAAATTGATTTAATAAACCGACTTCGGAGCCTATGTTGAGGCAACATCTTGTTTTGTTAAATAAATATTACGTCATATATACCTAATATTATAAATTAAACGTAAAGATCTCCGAGAAAACTAGATTATTTATGGAAAGGATTACATATGGGAAGAATTTTAAAAATGAGGGCTGGGCGAGACAATAGAGCTATGTCTCAATGAAAAATAACAAATCCGTAAAAATAAAATGGTCTTAAAAAACAAAAACCAAAAGACTTGGAAACGAGAATTAAGGAATTAGAGCTAAGTAACGAATGGTTACTTTCACAATTCAAATGTTTAGAAGCAATGATCAGAGAGCGAGATGAAGAAACAAAATTCAAGAAAGAAACTATTAGTAAATTAGAAGAGAACGAGAAGCAGCAGCAAAAGCCAAGCAAGAAAATATTAATAAATTAGAAGAGAGTATCAGACATCTTGATATTTCCTTTGAAGTCTTCATATATCAATCGTTAGTTGAAAAAGGAGATAGTGTAGCACAAGTTAGTCTTGGCTGTTTATATGAGAGAGGCAAGGGTGTAGAAAAGCATTTAAAAAAGGCCTTTTACTGGCAACAAAAAGCAGCCGAAAAAGAAATAAGGTTGGATTGTATAATTTGGTGAATGTTATGAATTAGGTAATGGTGTTGAAAAAGATTTGCCAAAAGCATTTGATTATTATCAAAAGGCTGCTAATCAAGGATATGTTAATGCACAATTTCGACTTGGATATTGCTACATAAATGGAATTGGAACAAAAATTAATAAAAAGAAGGGATTTGAATTATATAACGAGGCAGCCAGAACAAAAGATTTTGATGTACACAAATTATCATATGATAAATTAACGAGGGATATAGATAAAGTTAATTATTGGTATCATATGGCTGCAAATAATGATAATAAAGTTGCATTATATAACTTAGGTGAAATTTATGAAACAGGAAAAGGTGTTTGTCAAAATTTGACGAGAGCATTTGAATTTTTTGAGAAGTCGGCTAATCAAGGATATTTGGAGGCTCAATATAAAGTTGGATATTATTATGAGCATGGGATTGTAGTTGACATGGATAAAAAAAGGCTTTGGATTTATTTAAACAGCTGCCGAAGAAGGAAATAGCAATGCGCAAAAATGTCTTGCAAATTTAAATGAATAACAAGGTGAAGGAACAGAAAAAAATATTAATAATGCTTCCCATTGGGGTAAGAAGGTTGGATCTTCTTTTAATGAACAAAAGAAATAATAGTCTAGAACAAAATCAATTATAAATTTATATTTTATAAAAGGAGACTAACATAATATGATGCCATGTATATACAGTATTTTTAAATAAAAAATTTTAAAATATTTTATTTGAATTTCTCTAACCATAACCTGTGGCGATCATCGTCGCATCACTACTGCGCCTCATATGACATTATCGGTTAAAATTAAGACGAAAATAAACACAATAAAGAAAAGTTTAGCATCTAAAATTTTTTACTCGTGTTGCACAGATCTGAAATTTATTATAAAAAAGAAAAAATTCCGGCGACCGAAGGAAGCCAATTATTCAAATAATATTTGTTTTACAAACATAACCAACAAAGTTAAGCAGAAACTATAAAGTTGCTTTGCTGCTTGATACATTTCCTGGCGTTATGACCAGACCACATTCTCCACATACTTTGCACATATATTTCGTTTACTATTATTTTTGTTTGTGACTTCAGCATCAAGTTCATCATTGGCATATACTTCATTAGAATTAAGAGTGGATAAAGGATTTCTTGATGTAGTTGAATGAGACTGTTGCGTGTTTACATGTAAATTTGGATCGAGTGGATTAATTGCACTAGTATTTCTACTATGATGTAAACTCTCTGATGCGGATTTAATTCTTTATTTCGTTAAATGTAAATAAAACATTTCAATCAATATTAAATCCAAAGCTTGCCTTCTATCATCATATTTGTATCCATTAAGAAAAATGTTAAATAAGAAAGAAATAAAATGGTTTTTTGAATAAAAGAAGGAAAAAAAAAGTTGGTTTGTTAATGATAGAATTTATATTTATAAAACAGTATATTTTATTAAATCGATGATGTAATAATTACATAATTGTATCGTATCGCGTGAACCGACGCTCATCACCGCCGGTTATTTAAAGTTAAATTCTTTTATTTAATTTTTTTTTTTGATAAAAATGAAAGTAAAATATTGCAAAAGTATAGAGTATAGATAATTAAAAGTTAAATTCAAATGGTGTAAGTATTATATTTGAGAAAGTAAACATATTAATACTTATGGAGCCTATTTTTTTAAAAAACTAAATTAACCTATAATTTGACTTTCTAAATTATATTTATATAATATATATTAATGCACTGAACTACTTCATTGTCACTAGCGATCCTTCCAAATGTTGATATAACGAACTTTTTTACCTTCTTTTCCTCAACAAATTTTTCAAATAATTTTAAAGTGATCTAATCATC